AAATAAGGATGGTATACAGGCTTTGTATTGGGCATGCCGCTGCACATATTCGAAGACGTAGATTACGTACAAAGAATTTGTCACTGCTACTCAAGCAGAATAATGTCTTGTAGGGGCCCACTGATAAGTATGACTGAAGAAATGCATGGCCATGCTGAGATGAGTTTAGACATCTGTTCTCATCAGTCAGACTTGTTAATCAGTAAATAACTTAATGGCTACAAGTTGGATATTTTATATCCCTTGCACTAAGTTAAGGCATTGGGACAAAAGGATCTACGTTATACAAAGTCTTAGTCGTAGAAAGGTTTTGACGGAGCAAACGTCTGAACTTATAATCTGGGGGTAATAATGTGTTGCTAGATACCGCTTATTACTTATAGTATTGGTGTAGAGTCAATACTGTGGCCAGTTTTATAAGTGCCTATATGGGTCACACACTTTGGACAATTTAAATAGTAGGATTATAAGAAGGGATAATATATAATTTGTATATTGTAAAATAGTAAAGTAAAATGTTTAATATAATATATATATATATATACGTATATACTTTGTACACGGCACACACATATATATAAGTATATATACATATATAATGTGCGTGGGTACATATATATGTAATATACTTATAACGTGTACATATATGTATATATATATTACATTATATATTATATTGTGTACATTTTATTTTGGAGTGTCATTTTACTAATGAAAATAATTATTTTGACAAAAACTATTTTAAAGCATATTTTATATACTTGTTTTAAAATGTTTTGGGTATTTTATTTTATATCATAAAAATTATTGATGTTAAATAAAATACACTTTAAACATTTGAGAGGAGAAAATTATGTGTGGGGACTTGTGTCTCCCACTACATTTCATAATGTGTGTCCTTTTGGCCTTTTGCAAATGTATATGTTTTTGCATTATTCATTTTGATTTATAAAATGCTATCTTCTCTCCCTTTTATAGGAGGAACTTCCGCCAAGAAAAGGAGAAGAGAGAGAGAATTCTTTTGGGTTCCAAAATAATTTTGGGTGTAGAAAATTGTTATAATATTTTCTTTAAAATATTACCGATATATTTTCTACTTTTAATATACAAGATTTATATTATCCCTAAAATAATCTTTATATTAAATATAATATTATAATCTTTACTAGCATAAAGATTATAGTAGACTCCGGAGATTGTTCGTGTGTCAAAGTTGGAGGCCGGACGCTTGAACGGCTACGTTTGCTCCTTCAACATCTTTTGCTCGACTTCTCGTTCATACCGCTTTACCGGAGAAGGTATAAGTTTCTATCTCTAGCTATAGTTTTAGTACGTGTTCTTGGGCTAGTAATCACTATTGGGAGATTAAATTTTGTATTTCCGTTGCTCTCCCTACCGTGGTTACCTTTCACTTCCGTTAAGCTTACGGGTGCTTAACAAACCGTTACAACCTGAGAACTCGAGTCCCACGAGCCTCAATACACTTGCTCGGAGATACCGCACTCCAAGACTTCAACCCGAAGGAATATGCTCTTCCTTCGTACTGTTACAATTTTTGTACGGATTACAACGGACGGGGAAGACGAACGGACCCAGAAAATAAAATTAAATAAAATTCTGAATTTATAGCTTATTCAAAATATTACAAGATAAACAGAATTGAAAATAAATTCCAATATCTTCAAACAGCCTTGTTGTGCGATGACATTATGTACTGGACAGCGAGGACATTACGCACTAGACAGCAAGGACATTATGTCCTAGGGCAGAATGCAGCAAGGTCTTTATGAACTAAACCTGCAAAATAAAACACCGTGAAGGACAGCGGAGTCGCCGGAGCTGTCCTTAAGGTAGTAGTGCCCGCCTACCGTACTGGAAAAACGTGGGCACTCTCCTCCCAGGATAAAACCACTATCGTGTGTGGAGATTGTACGGACCAACCACACACCAACGAACAAGAACAACGTAGGAACGTTGACGACCAAAAAACTTTGAAGGGAATTGCCGGAAAGTTGGCTGGAAAATCAAGAGCTCTCTCTAAAAAAACAAGGAAGTACTTTTCCTTTCTTTTTCCTTTCTCACGTATGAAACAACCACCACTTAAGAGAATGGAGAGAGCCTTTGATTTTATAACCAAGCCATTTTAAAAAATGTAACTCCTACACATTAACCCATGGCATTTGTGGCACACTTAATACCATGTTAATGGTGATTAATTAGCCATTAGCACGTCCGTTACGCTACTCTCCGTTTAAAATTTGTCCCGAATAATTGGAGATTAATGGCTAGTTAACTCCGTAAGAAAGGACTAATTTTAAACAATACGTAAAATTAATAAAAGAAGATTGGTTCAGTAAAATTGCAAAAATTGCAATCCTCACCATATTCTTTTATTAACGGGTTAACTCTGAGAATCAATTTCTCATTCACCCTCTACCATTTTTGGCGTATAAATTGTCAAAACATTTATCTCATTTAAGAGAACACACGTCCATTTATTAACGGTTAAAACCGTTAGTGGACCTATTGACAAATATACCCAAATTGGTCTATTTAATGCCAATTAAAATGCCAAAAATTCCAACAATCCCCCACATGAATGAAAAATTGATTTGGGGTGGACAACATCCCACGGTTGAAAACCTGCACAGAACATGTAAGTGTCTCCACTTTTGAACATGTCCCTTGTAAAGTATACCTTCTTTACTGGCTGTTTAGTAGAACGCGATGTCTTTGAACTGTACTGCCGTTTGTGTAAACGATAGTATACAATACACAGATTCCAACCAAACGTCATTCTGTTCTCATGGTTGTGCCCATTTTGGTCGTGGGACATGCGCCTGGTTCTGCGAGAGTGTTTAGAGGATTAAGCCCAAGATCCTCCGTTGAAGCGACCACACTTCACTCTAACATAGGTGATTCTTTAAGAGTATCCCGATTACTCCCCTTAGACCACCGTGTCTATTTTTTAAGAATCATTAAAGCATATTTATATGCTAACCTCATCATTTTCGGGAGTCACTGTCTTCAGCAGGAACAGAAGGGACTGACCGGAGGTTCCGGTACCACCTCCATAGTGACCACGCTTTATCCTATAAGTAGGTTGTCCCATTGAACCTGGGTACCAGCCAGGTTGGATTTTCCTTCATAGGACTTTCCTAGCACAAGGGCTTCAAACCCATTCCTGCCACCAACTTCTCATGCAACTCATTTGTTAACCCTTTGGTTAGCGGATCCGCCAGATTATCTTTTGACTTCACATATAGTCAATTGTGATAATCCCAGTTGTGAGAAGTTGTCTAATGGTTTTGTGTCTACGACGAAAATGTCTAGACTTACCATTTTACATATTACTCTTTGCACGTGTTCTTATGTATTTCTAGATTATCAGACATACACACTAAGAATCGATGCGCACTACCACTGTAGCCAATAAAGATTTCATCAATGGTCTTTGGACCAATCTTTATCTTCTTTGGTGGTGGTGCTAAAACTTTTGCAAGGCACCCCCACACTTTCATGTATTTATAGGAAGGTCTCCTATTATACCACAACTCGTAAGGAGTCTTATCGAGTTTCTTTCGGGGTATTTTATTTACCAAATATTGCTAGATAAAATAGCCTCCTTTAGGACCAATTTTCTTCTTGTCCTTGTTTGGCTTAGGTCCTTTGGAAGAATCCTCTTTGGGTGGATGCTCCACCACATTCGCTATCCATGCTTCTTTAGCCTGAACTGTTGGCTCGTCCGCGTTCTCCCCCACAATAGGGGGATCCTCCCTCAAATACCTCGCAAGGTTGAGGGTGGTCAGCCAAAATAACATCCTTTGCTGCCATATTTTTAAAGCCAACACCTGTGAACTTTGCCGGTTCTTTGACAGAGTTCGCAGGTAGCATGACAGTAGGATGTCCGACCGGTGCGGATGTGAAGACACCCGTGTTCGGTCCACGTGAGGGAATGACTGGTATGGCCGAAGCCATATTCGGTCCGAGTGGGGTGACCATTGCGGCCGTAGCCGCGGTTGGTCCAATAACCGAGGTGACCGGAGCGGACCCCATAGTCGCGCTCGATCCAACGAATGTGGTGATCGGAGTGGACCCCATGGCCGCACTCGATCCGAAAGGAATGTTGATCAGAGTGGTCTGCCCTACAGAGCCACCCAATCCAGCCGAAACGTTCACAACCAGAGTCTCGGAACTACTCCCGTTTCCAGTGTGAGTGTCAAAACCGAATCCGTCCATACCCGCCATCGTGCACGGATATGACTACTACCTTAAGATTGTTACAATTTTTGTACGGATTACAACGGACGGGGAAGACGAACGGACCCAGAAAATAAAATTCTGAATTTATAACTTATTCAGAATATTACAAGATAAACAGAATTGAAAATAAATTCCAATATCTTCAAACAGCCTTGTTGTGCGATGACATTATGTACTGGACAGCGAGGACATTACGCACTAGACAGCAAGGACATTATGTCCTAGGTCAGAATGCAGCAAGGTCTTTATGAGTTAAACCTGCAAAATAAAACACCGTGAAGGACAGCGGAGTCGCCGGAGCTGTCCTTAAGGTAGTAGTGCCCGCCTACCGTACTGGAAAAACGTGGGCACTCTCCTCCCAGGATAAAACCGCTATCGTGTGTGGAGATTGTACGGACCAACCACACACCAACGAACAAGAACAACGTAGGAACGTTGACGACCAAAAAAACTTTGAAGGGAATTGCCGGAAAGTTGGCCGGAAAATCAAGAGCTCTCTCTAAAAAAAACAAGTACTTTTCCTTTCTTTTTCCTTTCTCACGTATGAAACAACCACCACTTAAGAGAATGGAGAGAGCCTTTGATTTTATAACCAAGCCATTTTAAAAAATGTAACTCCTACACATTAACCCATGGCATTTGTGGCACACTTAATACCGTGTTAATGGTGATTAATTAGCCATTAACACGTCCGTTACGCTACGCTCCGTTTAAAATTTGTCCCGAATAATTGGAGATTAATGGCCAGTTAACTCCGTAAGAAAGGACTAATTTTAAACAATACGTAAAATTAATAAAAGAAGATTGGTTCAGTAAAATTGCAAAAATTGCAATCCTCACCATATTCTTTTATTAACAGGTTAACTGTGAGAATCAATTTCTCATTCACCCTCTACCATTTTTGGCGTATAAATTGTCAAAACATTTATCTCATTTAAGAGAACACACGTCCATTTATTAACGGTTAAAACCGTTAGTGGACCTTTTGACAAATATACCCAAATTGGTCCATTTAATGCCAATTAAAATGCCAAAAATTCCAACACGTACAACCAAGGGAACAAACCTCCCTTAAAGTGTTCACAACACTTAATCACTCAAGAACAAAAACTCTCTTCAAAGAGTAGAATATGAGTAAACTAATTTAGATCCAGAACACACTCAATTTTTAAGAAATGGCTCTAAAAAGCTATGTAAAAAGTTTATGGAATGATGCAATGTAAAGCTATGAAATGTGTGAGGAATGGATGTGAAAAGTAGACCCAAGAGACCCCTTTGTATACCCAAAAACAAGGTGCAACGGTTGGGAGAATATTGGGGTTGATTGGTATGATTTGTGGAAATCAAATAAAAGTGGATCTGCTGAAATCTAGCCCGACAGCGCTGTTCATATAGTGAACATCGCTGTTCTGGCTTTGACTTTCCTTTAAAAATGGCTAACGGTCACCAAAACATTGATGTCTAGAAGTCTACATCGATGTTGGGGTGTTTGACTTTCAAAAATGGAAAGATTTTGTCTTAAATAGCCCAACGGTCATTTGAAAACATTGCTGTTCAACAATGAACATCGCTGTTCAAAAACTTACTTCCCAGGGCTTCTGAATGCCAACATCGTTGTTGGGATTTCCGACATGCATGTTGGGATGGTTTGCCAGAACCATGGTTTGGCAGCAGACGCCGAAAACCGATGTCAAAAACCAAAGTTCTCCAAAATGAAAACCAAGTGTTGGAAACTCTTATATAATGTATTTTAGGTAGAAACCAAGTATAAAAACTTAAAAACCACTTCATTAAGGTAAAAACCACGGCTAGCCAAGTTGATGCCGTTTCACATGGTTTTCACCAAAAGACAAAAAACGGAAGGTGGTTTTTAACATGTTTTTGTTCGAGAACCATTTGGATATGTCCAGGAGTAAAAACCAATCATAAAATATTAAAAACCCTCAATTGATTTGGACGCCAAAAACCAACGCCGAAAACCAACACCGAATGCTGATAACCAACGCCGAAAAACAAAGGTTATAGTTTTTGAAAACTAATCATTTGGAAAAACTTTAAATGTGTCCAGAAGCATAATCCAAAGATAAAAACCCAAAAACCATTTGGTTAAAATCAATGCCAATAACCAATGCCGAAAACCGAACGCCATAGCCGAACGCCGTTAACCGATGGTTATGGTTTTGGTTAAGAAATTAGAACCATGGGTTTAAGAAACTGAAAAACCATTTATGAAAACATTAATTTGATGCATGAAAAACATATTTGGTTTTGAGCCATGACGTAGAGAAATTGAATGAGCTTGTTACAATAAAAACTAAGTCTTTATAATACGTCTTCAAAGCGCCAATGTCGCCATCTTTAGCAACGTCAATGCCGTTCTTGTGCTTTTTGTTTTTCAAAGAACTTTTTCTATCTTTTTATTTTGTTCCATGTTCCCGACGGTTTCTCAATATCAAAACCTAAACGGAAACAAACATTGTCATTAGCAAAATGTCAAAGTGAAAATGTTTTCCAACAATATATATATATAGCATATATTCTGATTCAGAAGAGAGAATTGTTAGCGCATTACCATATTTTTTGCGAATCTGAAATACTAAGCAGCCAATTTGGGATGACCAGATGCGGCTTGGCTTTGCGAAGAAAAAATGGAGGAGACAACTTCAGCGTAATTCTTTTTCGAGCTGATAATAACTCATCAATCATTGTGTTTGAGAAGGAAGTTGTGTTTGAGAAGGAAGGCTAAACACACAAAACTTAAATGAACAAAAAAATCATTCAGCGTGGCATACACGGACATAATGACGTAGGGTTAAAGTGTGAATTAAAATCTAAGTACAAGATCCAAAGCTAAATGTACTATTTTTTGTATGGAAAAATAGCATAATGTAAAGAGGTGCCTAATACTATTTGTAAAATTTGTTCTAAATAGGACTAAAAGATGATAGGTTTCCCTAAACAAGACTTATTATGATTTTTTCTTTGTTTAAGACTTATTTTGTTCCATGTAGCCATTTTTGCCCTTTAGACCTACTTTTCTCAATTCCGTTGGTTTAGCTTAGGGGTGGACACGGTACGGTTCCGGTTCCGAAACCGCCGGTTCCGGTACCGCCACCCCTTGGTACCGGTACCGTGACCGGACCGGCCGGTACCGGTTCCGGTACCGTACCGGCCACCAATTTCTTATACGGTTTCCAGTCGCCGACTCCAATGGCTATTGCTGCGGAACAAGCCGATGATGGCGATGAGAGCATATGTTATTTCTGCGGACCAATTTCTTCTGCGGTACTCCGTTCTATTCTTCTTCTTTTTTTCAGAAATTGGTACTCCGTTCTCTTCTTCTTCTTCTGCGGACCAATTTCTTCTGCGGTATTGGGTATTCCGTTCTCTTCTTCTTCTTTTTTTGAGAAATTCGTACTCCGCTCTCTTCTTCTTCTTCTGCGGACCAATTTCTTCTGCGGTACTCCGTTCTCTTCTTCTTCTGCGATGGTTGGACTGCCGGAAAAGAGGAAAAAAAATTACACGGTACGGTACCGAAACCGATACCGGTACCGCCGGTTCCGGGACGGAAATGTTGGCACAAGAACCGGTACCAAGTGGGGCGGTGCCGGTACCGGTTCCTGGTACCGGGTGACGAAACGGCCGACGAGGACGGTTGCAGGTACCGCCAGTATCGGCGCCGGTAACGGTACCGAACCGGTACCGTTTCCCGCCCTAGTTTAGCTTCCATATTTAATAGGATTCTCTTTTCTTATTTAGAGGATAGTTAGTAATAACTTCCCCTATTTTTAGGAAATGATTACTCCGTACATTGTTTTTCATATTTTCTTGTTTTGTGTTTTTAAAAATAATTTCTTTACTTTTTTTAAAGAATATTTCCTTTACTATATTATAAGAGAACAACTCGTTTTTTACTCTAGGCCCTTATTTTTTTTAAATTTCTTCATATAACCAATTGTAAAATTTGCACTAAATAGGACTAAAACATAAGTCATTTCCCGATGTAGGAATTAAACTTTTTTATTTTCTAAATATTACTTAATAATGTCTAGTGGGAGGAATTAATAATATCCAGTGATGATGGACATTTACTTGTATAATGACCAAGGGTAAATATGATTAAAATATAATGACTTTCTTTATATGTGATCATATATTTTTATTTTCCAATCTAGGAGCATTGGTCATTATCTATAAGTCATTATTCAACTAAATGTCCAACATCACTTGAACATTAGTTTTCTGACTAGTCATTATTAAGTTCTATTTAGAAAATAAAAAAGTTTAAGTCCTATATTGGGAAATGACCAATGGTCTTAAATTGGGAACTAAATACATATGTTCCTGTTTAGAAAAACTCATTATGTTTTAGTTCTATTTAGTTTAATTCCCTTACTCTTTTACTCATAGTCACAATCAATGACCTTATACACTATCAAAATGGCATGTGTGAATGTTTTTCCTTTTACTCATATTCACAATGACCTTAGACATTATCTAAATGTTATGTGTGAATGTTGTATGGTATATATTAATGTCTTAGATTATTTTAATATGTTTGTGATAGACCAAAACCCCCCGGGTGTGTATTTTTTGGTCTATACGATATATGTATAAAATATAGAAAATATATGAACACGAATATAGACAATAGACTTTTACGCGGAAACCAAATCGGTGAAAACCACGGGCCTTTTTTGGCGGTACCATGCCAATGGGGATGTTTTATTATATATCGGGGGCATATTTGTACAGCATATTGGCGTGATAGCCATTGATGGAGCTCGAAGCTCCATCGAGAAGAAGATGATGAACGGAGAGAATACAATATATGTGGAATGTAGAGGGTGGCTCCCCCCTTCTTCTTGGTTATGTGTCTCTTATATAGCATCAAGGTAGGAGCCTAGGGTTAGGGTTCCCTAGCGGGCTCCTTGCGTGGACCGGCCCAATATCTTTAATTAGGCCCAAGGGATATTATCCCATCACAAGCCCCCCAGTTTCTTAGTGAACAGGAAGTGTTGACTGAGAAACTATAATTTGTTGTCGTCTGTGAATTTCTTTAATCGACACTTTCTTGTACCCGAATCACTTGAAGCTTCTAGTGGCGTAGGCACAAATCCTGACTCCTTAAGCTTCTCTTCTTTTAGTACCTAAAAAAGTTAGAAACATACTTGCCTCGTCGAGCGACTACGAAGTCCATGAGATGGCTTCGTTGTGTTTCGAGGAGAGGACTTTTAAGAACCTCAAAGAATGAGGGATTTGATCGCCTCGCGAGGTGGTTTAAGGGCCGACCT